CTGGTTTTAAGACTAAGATACATTAATCTGACAACACTGGTCATCTCCATAGAAGGAAATATTGGGGGCCATTTCCTTGGGGAGGAATGGCCACACGGGAATTTAATTTTATCTGTGGCATTGAAATGTTTTACAGCAATAATGCATTTGTTAATTGTTACTATTTTTTAAAAAAATGCATCTAAAACAACAAAAAACCTCACAGAAAAAGAGTGCTTTTGACTATTTCCAATTCATATACACTAAATTTGTAATCGAATCTTAAAACTAGATACAACTTGAACGTATCATAAGGAGAAAGAGGACATGGGAAGGATACAGTACTGAAGAAATACGATTCTTTTCCTTAAGGAAGACACAAAACCAGTGGTCAAGTGATTAATTGTACAAGTCAAATGAAATGTTGGTGTGGTGGAGAAAATGGAGGTTCCTAGGCACAGGGGTTTGGGGAAAGGCCTTGTTTAAAAAGAGGAGCTGCGAATAGGCAAGATTACGCCATGCCTGCCCTGTCTTGTGGATAGTGGCTGGTTGAGCTGTTAGCGCTGGGCCTGAGCTGGCAGAGGTGCCTCCTGTGTCTATTCAGATTACTGTGTCCTCAGCTAAACTGAGGAGATCTGTGTACCAGAAGGACAGTGAGCTGGAGAAAAGGAGGTGGTTCATAGATTGGGTTGGGGATAAAGAACAAAGAGTTCAGAATTAGACCGTTATTCAGGAGACCTGACGCAAAAGTGCTGCAGCAATGGAAGTTTAGAAAAATAAAAAGTGGGTCAAAAGAGTGAGAAGACCATAGTGAGATGCCATGGAACCTCCCATGGCGGCCCCTCAGCGTGGTTGTGAACACTTTGCTGGCCTGGGACTGATCTTAGGCATCATCAGAAAGGTACCAGAAGAAAAGGCATGCAGGCAAAGAGAAATCATGGCTCATATACAGATGCAGAAATGGCCTCAGTGTTATCTGAGGAGGGAGCCCTTGGCACATAATAGGCACTTAATAATATGTGGTGGTGAGTGAGTGGATATGTGGAAGCCAGATCCAGTGAGCCTATATGAAGCAGAATTGAGTGAAATGCTGTTATAGCGAAAGGTCTAGGTCCTTACAGAGGCTTTGGAAACCATGCAAGGGAGTTTGGTCAAGAGGTTATATCAAGTTAGCTAAAAACACCCTGTTAATCACACTGTCTTAAAAAACTCATGTCCCAGACCAAAAGTTCACAAATAATTATTAATAACAGCAAATGCCAAACTTCTATGGTCTTATTATAATTATATATATATATATATATTTTTTTTTTATATAATTATTATAGAAAGTAAATTGTTCTCAATCATTCATTTTCAGCTCCATGGAATAACATTTCTAACTAGAAACTATTGTCTGACTGAACTATATCTAAACAACAATGCAATATTTGAAATAGAAGGTATGTCTTCAATTTTCTCTATTGATTGAATGAATTTTCAGTTAAATAATAACTTTCAACTACTCACATGCAATTAATTGCTTATGGCATGCAAAACTCTGTTTGAAAACGTGATGCAATCTATCATTTTTTTAATGTCCTTATGTACATTTCACTTTAAGAAATATGCTTTTGATTATGGTTTTAATGCAATCTTATCTTTTTTCTTATTCAAAAAGTAAAAGAATCTTTTTTTAACATAGAAATTTTGCCATTCTACTGCACAGTTGGACACAAACTGGATACTGGGGAAGTAAATTTTAACAATATTGGGGAGCATTCATAAATATAACAACTTTATAAATAGTCTTAATTTTTGACTGGCCATAGTTTTTAGCAGCCAAATTCTTGTTTTCACTCTGAATTAATGTTATATGTGCAACACTCTCTAAAATGACACTTTTAAACCAGGTATAAAAGCACATGATGTACTATGATCTTGAAATATGAAGAGGTATTGCACAGGACATTTTTTCCTTAATATTATGTATCATAGAATCAAAATGTCATAAATTTTAAGATCCACCATGATTTCATGTACCACAAAGAAAGAAGATCTTGCCAATTAAACTATGATGTGGCTATTGCAAAGACACAACCCCCTTTCACTTATGTTAAAAAATGTGGGAAAATGTGCAATTTAGAATCAACAAAAACTATCTGAATATTTGGCTTCATATTGTATAAAGAAAATATTTACTTGGGGGTGGGGATTGAACTGAATAACTAATTATTCCCTTGATCATTATTATAAATTTAAGTAACATAGGCAAAACAAAACAAAAGAGTAAAGAAAATAGCCCTTCTACAATCAAACAGAAAAATCACTGCTACAGAAAAATGTAGAACATTACACTAAAAAGAAAGCGACTCTACATTCCCACATCACACTCAGTTAATTGAATTCTTATGCTTTGTTCTATTCTTAATGATAAATCACAATATGGTTGATAATAATTCTTCCTTTCACCAGCTGCAATGTATTCTTTGCTTTTGTTTAGTGAGTGTGTTTAATTAGCGTTAAAAATGTTTAAAATCTTGTAAAAATGTGTTTTTAGGCCTGCACTGCTTGACATCATTGCATATACTCATGCTGCACCACAATGAGTTAACAAACATCGACGCAACAGTGAAGGAATTAAAGGGAATGCTAAACCTGAAGACTCTAAGTATTCATTTACACTTTTATATGGCCATAAGTTAAAACAGTCATAACACAGGACATGTTTTGTTTTGCTTTTTTCATTTAAATCAGAACAATGCTTATAACTAAAATATTTAAATATTTCTGAAAACAAAACTTCCTTTTTAAAGTATGTTTTTGAAAGAACAACAGGTAGAAAAGAATGATTTTAAATGATGCCAAACGAAAACAATAGGAGTGACAAAAGATGATTTACATGTTTAAATCTGTGGTTTTGGTTTTACCTCAAAACTAAGTTTTAGCCATGGTCTGTGATTCCATTTATATGATATGTCCCAAATTGGCACATCTATCAAGACAGCAACACTGAGAGGTTACTATTTTTAAATAGATTAACGTTGTTCCAGGGCTAGAGGTATGAAGAGACTGGGGAGTAATAGCTAAAGAATAAAGGGTCTGGGTTGTTTGGTTTTTTTTAGGGTGATGAAAATGTTCTAAAATTGACTGTGGTGGTGGTTGCCCAATTCTGTGACTATGCTAAAAAAACATGAATTGCATACTTAAAATGGCTGAATCATGCTATATGTGGATTATATTAATAAAGCTCACACACACACACACACACACACACACACACACGAAAGTTTTTATGTAAGTTTTCAATTTGGTGAACGGCAAACTTCATTCATGAATACTGAATCATACCCAGAAAGGAACTGACCTCAGTATTGGAAGAAAACGTGAGAAGGCTGGAAAAATAAATAACACACAGTTCCTATTCTCAATAAGCTTATAGTATTGAAGGGTAAATAAACCCATCCTCAATCGCAGTACAGGATAAATGGTTCTATTATAGGTGTACCAAGGGAAAAGATGCTCAGATCAATGAGTGGGTCTTTGGACTCTAGAGTTTGGAGACTTCTTTATACAATGTCATGAAATGGATGTTTTGTTTTGTTTTTTTCCTATTCATTTTTTATTCATTTCCCAGGATTGCCTGAGATGGTGTTTTGCATCCATGTAAATTGGTGTTGATGGCGAAGGTTCTAATCAGATCAATAAATTGAGAGTTAAGTTTTCATATGTTTTCAGTGTTAATCAGTTACATCTACTGTATTTAGGAGAAATGATTGACGTGCTTATAGGTAGATTCTTTAAAGCCAAATATTAATATTATACCAAGTTCATGGCAATTCCATGCTTATTTTTGAGACATGATATGGTCTGTGAAAGACTCAGGATTGGCTGCATATTTGAATTATCTGGCCCTTCTGTGCTGAGCAGATGCTTTCATGATTAAAAGGCTGGTTATGCTAGATCCAGAATTCCCACTTATGTTCATTTTTCCATAAAATGGGCTAATAGCCACCTCAGGATTGCTTCAAATAGTAAGCTATTTCTGTAAAACATTTTATTTTAAAACAGCATTTCTTGACATTATTCTATTTTGAAGTAGCAACCAAAACAAAAATTGTTTTATTGTGGATTATGTAAATTAGATAATGAATTAAGATAGTCTAGAAATTATGCTAAGTAGTAAATAGATTAAAATATATAACTGACATTTTAAATAGTCATCATTATAATAACATATCTCAATGTCTTTCATGGTGAGAAAATGCTTTTTTACAATATTCACATTTAAACCTTCACAGCAACCCTATAACATGATTAGAATTATTCCCTCATTAATGGTAGAAATGCAAGGCTCAGAGCTTTAACCAAACTGCTAAAGAATATGGAAACTTAAACTCATGCCTGCTTCTTTTAGTTATGTATTCATTCAATAAACATTTATCATTTATTCATTCATTCAATAAATATTTATCATGTATTTACTGTGTTACAGTCTACTAGATGGGGACACAAAAGTGAACAGGAAACGCCCGATCTGGACCTTTAGGGAGCTCACAGTTTTATAACTCTCAGGCTAAATATTTCCGGGACAGCTGAATGGGGCTTGATGCAAAACTAATTGGATAATTTGCTAAATGTAAGAACTCAATCATTTAAGCAAACTGATTTTACAATACAATATTTGGAGGTTAGCAAGCAAAGTCACCCTGATCATAGTCAGCAGGATTACGTGCCTGCCCTGGGGAATAGAGTCTGAAACCCACCCCATGCCACACTTGTCTGTCAAGCACTTGTGTGAACACAGAATCGTGTCAGGCCTGGTTGCGGTGGTGCACGAGTGCCCTTTCTAGTTTTCTGAAAGGCTGTTAGGCCAACCCAGGAGTATAATGTTCATATCATTACCTGTCACAACAGTTTAAGTGACCTCTACTTAAAATCATAGTGATGCCGTTCAAGTTATATAACTATAATTGTTCCAATTGAAACTCTTGTAGTATGATTAGCTTTTGAAATGGAGAAAATGCTGTGTCCAATTTAAAAAAAAAAGCATTTTTGGAAAAATTTTGGCAGCAAGTTTGCACATTTTGAACCTTTGTCCCATTTAGATTAAGGAAATTATATTGGAAAAAATATTTTGCATTTACTAGACTACAAACAGTGCAATAGTGCCCTCAGGTTCAGTGTCTGTGAGCCTCATTTGCAATCACAGAGTAGATTCAGCTCATTAACTAAAAGGAGGAGCCATGTATTTTGAAATGTTAAAATTTTTGTCTTTTCAAGTTCTAAAAACCTTATAAAATGCTAAAGTGTTATTATTATTCCACTTCACTTACAAGTTCTTCAGAGGGTGAGAAAATTGCCTAGGGCTAAACCTCTAATCCATTTCAGCATTGCACCCTCCAATGGCATTTATGAGACTTGCCAAGAGATGGCCCAGGAGACACATGGCTGGGAGCTTCAGGGAGGCCTGAAACCAGCTGCAGTGTGAGGTCCTGGAAGCTGGAATTCTTCACTTCCAGGCTGAGTCAGGGGGGCCCCACCTCTTCTCCCCAGGCAGTCTACCTTTCCACACCCTCCTTTGCCGGCTCCATTTTCCTCTTCTCTTCCTCTTCCTATATCAGGATATACATATGTCACAAGACACACTTTGTGGATGATGACTTTCCCTAGCTAACCTTCAGTTTCCCAGCACAGAGGGAAAAAACACCACCAACAGCAGCAACAAAATACTTAACACTTTCCTGCTCCTAAACTTCTTTTCATTTCTCTTCATTTCTCTCAAATGTTCTCTAGGTTTCGTTAAGCTCCACTATTGGGAAGTATCCTTAAACTCCTACATGCCATAATTGTTAAGCCTTGCTCCTTGCAGAGTTATAAGGATTCACCATTGAAGACAGGGAGTATCCCTTTCTGGAGAGGGTCTCCGTTTTCTACAGGTTCTGCTCTTAAACGTTTTCTACTTTTCCTCATTGGCCACAGTCCACGGCTGATGGCGAACGGCCAGGGAGTGCAGAGGGATGCAGAAATCATCCCTCTGTGGATGGAACTGCGATCTGTGGTCTCTTCATTTGAACCTCTTTCCCTGAAATGCCCCCCAAGGGAGGACCACCTCTCGGGAACAATCCACCCAAGAAAAATTGCCAGCTGGGTCTTTCACTGCTATTTCACTGAAGAAGACAATATTCTGACCCCTCCACTCTTCATCCCCTGCTTTAGTCCAGGTTTACCTTTCAAAAATCAGGGACGACTTCCATATTCAATACAGGCATGTGGTATGCTGTGGCCCACAGATTTTAGTTACAATAAGATGGTGACAATTGTGGAGATGCTGGCCTTTCTCAGTAACCTTGAGCCAGAGCCTCAAAATCTTCCTGTCTGATCACTGACACGTGAACTTCCTTCCACGGGCTGTGCTGCATAGGCACCGACTATAACTGTTGGTTATAGCTCCTCTGTATCATCTTTATTGGTACATTATTAATGACATTGACGTTCTTCAAAGGTGGTCTTAAAAACATTCAGGATCCTTTAAATGATTTTAAATTTTGCTTTAAAGTTTAAAAAAAAATTAACTGGAGCCAATTATTTAGACGATTGTGGTTTCTTTCTCTTCTGTTTTCAATGATAAGTAGATTCACACATGTGACTCATGTAACTCAAGCTTGTGCAGTAAGGTAGTAGAGACATTTTGATATATTATTGGGTAAATGTAAATTGCTTAGACTCAGAATCCCAAATTAAGATAAGCAAGACAGTACTGGCGCCACTGAGGTGTACTCTGTAAGTAGCCTAGAGGGAAGGTGGATTAAACAGTATTAACCTATTGAAAGTGAAAGTGTAGCAATTTCGCCTCATAGTTTCTAAAGGAATGTACCTATACATCATGGAAGGCTTTTAGAACTTTCAGACACAGGAAACTGGCTTCATATCTTAGAAATTTAATTTATGGTAATTTTAGTAGCATCAATCCAAAACTCATAAATTCAATGGTGAAATGCTTGATAGTATGGAAGGGGGGGAAAAAGACAGTTAAAAATAAGATTGCTTCCTTCTAAGATTTAAGAGTGAGGGGAAAAAAGAGAATAATAAAGATGAAATGCCTTAAGTGAATAATAATAAAGATGAAATGCCTTTCAAATTATTTAATCCTGTTTATGTTTTAAGTTAATTTAGGCAAAGGCTGGGCTTAATAGCCAAGTTTTCAGACTTGTTGTCACTTAGATTTTATTTTACAATGAAAGGAATGTTGAACCGTACTAAGCACAATTGGGTTTTTAGTATTGAGACATCTTCATAACTAATATAATAGTAGTAAATCCAAATTGGGCATTTTGTTTAGCTGAAGCTAGAAATTTTTGTTTTTGTTTTTTAATTTACATCAAGATGTTACTTAACTAAGCACTAGGAGAAAAGGCCAAGAAAAGAAATAGTAATGCTCTCAGAGGGAAGACAGGATATGAAGGGTATGCCAGAAGTAAATGCTCCTGAAGGATGCTGGTACATTTTCGATTAACATCATATGCAAAGGCAGACTCGACTCCCAGCTGCTGTAAAGTATGATAGGGTTATGATGTGTCAGCTGTGTTTCTCCAAGATAGTAACCACGGAACAGACTTCCGCACTAAAGAATTGGTGACTGTTTCTCCCTCCTAAGCTCTCATTAGAAACATTTGTGTTTGCTTTTATATCCTTCAAGGGTGTCCTTTTCGCTTCTCTCTCTGGCTCAAACTACAATGCATGATCCCTGTGGATCTTTTTAAAATCTGTCCTTATTACTTATTAATATATATCATTTCTACTCCCTGTCCTGTAGCTATAATTATTTGTTACCACTTTAAATCCCTTCTCTTTTAAGCTTAAAATTCAGACCACTTTTACCCTTACTTAAGAAATCTTGAAAAGTATTCACTTCATTTTTTTCTCTCATTTCCCCCAATACACACATAGTTCCTTTCTTTTAAATGTCATTGTTGCTCCTGGTTCTACATTTTCTTTTCTTATTAAAATATTTTTGTTAAAATATAGCTGACATGCAATAAATATTACATTAGTTTCAGGTGTGCATCATAGTTATTCAACCGTACCCACCTGGCACTATTCATAGTTATTACCCTATTATTGATTATACGTGTATTCCCTGTGCTTTACTTTATATCCCCATGGCTATTTTGTAACTACTAATTTGTATTTCTTAATCTCATCACCTTTTTCACCCTGCCTTTTGCCTCCCATTATCACTCCAATAGATCTAGTACACATCTGATACCATGCATAGTTAATACAATATTATTGACTATATTTCTTATGCTATGTCCTCCATCCCCATGACTACTGTGTAATGACCAATTTGTACTTCTTAATCCCTTCCCCTTTCTCACTCACCTCCAACCCCTCTCCCATCTGGGAACCATCAAAATGTTCTCTGTATCTATGACTTTGTTTCTGTTTCATTTATTTTGTTCTTTAGATTCCACTTACAAGTGAAATCATATGACATTTGTCTTTAGCTATCTGACTTACTACACTTAGCACAATACCCTCTATGTCCATCCATGTTGTCACAGATGGCGAGGTCTCATTCTTTTTGACGACTGAGTAATATTCCATTATATATATATATATATATATATATACCACCTCTTCTTTATCCATTCATCCATTCATGGACACCCAGATTGCCTTTATATCTTGTCTATTTTAAAAATACTGCAATGAACATATGGGTGAGCATGTCCCCGTGAAATAGCCTTTTGGGCTTCTTCAGATAAAAACCCAGAAGAAGGGAAGGCCCTTCTTTATCTTTTGTTA